CGCACAGCAATCAGCCCCTTCCTCCAGTTTATAGACTGGGCATGACACTCTATGGYATGGAAYATCCCTTTGGCTAGTTTGGCTCAGCTATGCTTGCCATGCTGCCTTCTAGCTTCCTGAGCGCCTCCATGCTGGCAGAGCATGGGAACTGGAATGTTTCTGATTTAGAGTAAGCACTACTTAGCAACAGTTGCAACATCAGTGTGCAATCAACATTATTCTCATACTAAATCTGAAACACAACACTGTGCCAGCTACTAAGAAGAAAATTAACTGTATCTCAAACAAAATGGCAATTGAAATACTAACATTGTTATTTCCTTCTTTGTGAGAGACCAGAGTGCTAAAGCTCAGACCTTTACTATTTTCCACCAGCTGTCATATCTCAAATAGGTGGTGATTGGTATATGCAGCCAGCTGTATCATTCTCCTGTAAGAAGAAAGAAACCAAATCTTACCCCTGAGAGAAGCCTGGACACATTCATGCCCCCCTGAGAGTTCACCAGAGAAGATTGAAATACCTGTACCATCCTCTCACAAGTGTAATCATCACCTGTCAGAAATAATGCCTTATTCTGATTTTACCTTTGTGAAGAAAGTTTCCACAGGTAATTTTAGGGATGACAGCAAAGACTTACTTATTTCTAGTCTGACCTTCATGGCTGTACGTTCCTTTGGGCATAAACACGTGCAGGTCTTCACAGAAAACATGAAACCTTCCTTTCTCACACAGCCCTGGTGAATCCCCATCATAACCAACAACACATTTGCTAAAAATTCCAAACAGTGACCATCTTCTGCTGAACTAATAAAAAAAAAAGATGAAAAATGCTAATTAACTAGATCACCCCATTTAAAGATCTAGTTCAAGACTGCTAAAATGCAAATATATCCATTAAATGCACACTTAGGAGAAAAATGTCAACCTAACATACCAAATTAATGTGTGAGTTATTATATTTCTTAGCTGAGGCAGAAATAGTTGCTGAATAATTGTGTGTATAACAAAAAATGTTGATGAATGAATGAACACTTATTTCAAAAAAAGACTGAATCTTCCTAAAGATCAACTGTTTCAAAATCTGACATGCATGTGTTCAATTCTGTGTGTTATTCCAAGGGTTCATACAAACTGGGCAACTAGACACTGTTTAAACTCTACAAGAAAAATGCTCTTTTGCATTATAAAAGCCTACACTTTTGTATATTTTAACATAAAAATTCAGCCAGTATTTTAGAAACTCTGCTTTTGAGAGTAGGGTCCAAGGAGCCCCAAACATTGTGAAGTACAATGACCATGGACTTAGTTTTAGATATGTGACACATCAGTTTTTTTCTGGAAGTGCTGCTGTGTTTCCATTAACTTTACAGAGACCCTCAAGAAAATGTGGTCCAAACTTGTGCATCTTAGGTCCTCTTTACTATACTTTTATAAATCTTTGCCTGTTGCCTTTGAGATCATTAAAAAACATCACATCTAAGAAACAGGAAAACAAGAAAGAAATACAGAGAAACATAAGGTTTTTGAGTTGGCCCTAAAAATGCCTAATTCACCCCAGTGTATTCTGCTGAAAACCATGGAAGTACACAGGACCTGAACTTTTCCCACTATCTTTTCCCAACAGCCTGTAAAACTATTTTATCTGATTGTCCTGCACATTTTCAGTAGGTGAACAGAAATTTGGTACGGGGAACTGAGGGTTTTTTTATCACCCTTGTATTCTTSCATATGATTACTTTCTTAATATTTGTAATTCCTTTTTCCAACCTGAGATTCTGCTGGGTGTTGAGAGGGTGACCATCCTGACCCAGGAGAGGAAGGGACAAGAATGGACACTGAAAATACCAGCATTCACAATCACTGCCAGAGTACTCCCAAGGTAACAATAATTTGCTATGAGCTCATTAAGGGATAAATCTGGCCTGTTATAATTCAGTTCCTGGTAGCAAGCAATAAGAAGTTGTTTTGCAAATAGACAGGTGATGGAGCTTTAATACCTCTGGGAATACAAAGTGAGGGCAACTTCAAAAGCAATGATGGAAAAACTTTCCTGTGGGTTCCTCAGTGTGAGGGAGGCTCTACCTGACATCCCCACCAAGATGTATTTCCTTGAAGTCCTAACCATCAGGCGCTGCAGTTCTGCCAGTCCCAAAAGCAATGCACAAAAGGAGGCTCCTCCTTGCAACAACTACGCACCCCCCTTAACAGGCCCACACAGGCTGCTTGTCACAATTACCCCGCTGTCACCTCCCCTGACGCTGGAGTGAGATCTCCTGGTGGTTTCTGCAGGAGCTGCATTAAGTACCGAGGTGCAATAGCAGAGGACATCAATTAGATTATATGCTCTGGTTTAGAGAAAAATCACCACAGCTTTATGCAGTACTTAGACAGATGAAAGTAAAATTCATATTTTCATAAAATAACACAGAAATATTGACTACTTTGATTTTTCCACTCTGCTGACATGGGTAGTTTTAGTTACAACAAAAATTTTGTCTGATTACAAAAAAAATTTGCTGAGAAATGTGGTGCAGTAAACTTGCCCTAGCTCTGCTTTTTCACTTGTTTTTAAAGCTGTACTAGATCATTAGGGCACATGCAGAATGAAAAACAGCAACTCATTTGCCAAAGAGAAAGACAATGGATTTCCATAAGAACAAAGGTTTATATTTAAAAATACATACATCGGCTTCAGCTAGCAACAAACCAAAGATAGGAAAGTGTACATTCCTTAGAGTAATAAATCATACTTGGCACTCTCTTTGGGAGAGCTATGTTAAGAACTAGTCTCCTGATGGTAACACATGAAACTATTAAAATTTCATAAACTTCTACAACACCATACATGAGAAAAAAAAATAAATAGAGTAGTTGGCATGAAGTAAGTTTGTAACAAGTAATTCTGGATTTTTTTTAATTAAGTCAGTCATTGGAGTGTGAAAAAAATGTATTGTGTATCCCTGTTCTTGAAGGCAGAGCTGAAATTCAGCGAGAGGCCTTTGCACAGGGAGGGTGGTGCTGCAGTAATCTGCTAGCACATCTATMGAGCAGAGCCCAGATAAGCCATCAAAAAGGAGAATCAGCTCATGGGCAAAGTCCTACTCTTCACCCGCCCTACCAACACACCGCAGCCTGTGAGTCACTCAAAAATCCTGTCGAGACACAGACAATACGGTTATTTGCTTAAATACACTATGAAATGAGTCGCAGTTAATGCTTTCTCCACCTGTAAGTACTMAAAGCATCAGGATACCGATAAAACATCTCCCACAAACAGCTGCAGTGACCACGGGATCTGCTGTTGAGCTCGTACTTACATGACAGCATCGGCCGGGACAAAGCTCGGTATTTAACTATTCCTTCCCCACGTTTTTCTGCTCGTTGTGCCGCTCCTTCCACTGATTGCTCGTGTTTGACAGCATCTGGACTGCAAAACGATCCTTTGCCCCTCTTTTGCAAAATCAGCAGGCTGCGGAGRGATGTGTGACCGCTGCTGCAGCCGCTGTATCCAGACGGCCCAATGCAGCAGAGGCTTTAGCTCCCCCTTCCCAGCCTGGGTTTTTTCTTTCTTTGTCTGTGTGGGGTTTTTTTTAAAGAGATAYGGTCCTGACTAACCTCATGTTTCGGAAGCATAGTACAAGCTCCAGGCACAGGGTTGTCAAGCAGATGTGGAAGGATACCAAGACAGAAGGCCAAAATGACACAATTTTAAGAGATATTACTCAAGGCATAGCATGTATTGAACAGTTTCCTGTAACAGATCCAATTTTGTGGTTGGTTCTGTTTAATTCAGATTTGCTTCTTGACATTTTGCTGCATTATTTCTTCACTTTTTGTGGGKTTTTTTCAGCTTATACAATAGAAATAATAGATTTTCTGCTTATTTATTTCACTTTTCAACTCTCCTTCTGTGTCACAGAATGTTCACAAATGTTCACAATTTAAAGAAGTGTGAAAACTTTTGTCTATATAGCAGCTTTAGTAAGTACCTTTAGAGTTCTGCCTCTGTTTTGCCAACAACATGTTATGCTCACATTCTTCAGGACTTATTTAAATTAATTTTGTCAGTGCTGATTGCATCAGCTGATTACATCAAGAYTCTTCTGAGTCTGCGGGCTACCAGTGGCATCCTGAGCTTGATTTCTCTTGTTCAAGCTGGCACAGGTAGCTGTTAACAYCCACGTTTTAAAACTCATCTCCTCATTAACTTCAAATTCATAYTCCTATTCATGTGATCAACTGCATAAAGCAGACCTCAGCATTTAAGACATTGCTTACATTTTTCATTCTCTTCCCTTAGTCACTCATGTTAACCTGCCAGGTTGTCCTCAAGAAAAACCRAGAAACCTTTCCCCTGAGAGTCCTAAACTTGCCAGTTGTGTTTCTTTGAATTCGACATGCAAGATGCTGCCCCTTCCTATGATCCAGCAGGCTTCTGCCAGAAACACATCATTCCAACCTGTCAGTCTTCCTTAAAGTGTTGTGCTAACACAGCACTTCACAAAAGTTTCAGGACTGGCTGAAAGAATGAGATTAGGGATTTCTAGGGAGTCTGGAGCTCTCTTTTTCCTCTGCAGTCCTGAGCTGCMCAGGTGATGTGCTAGAAACAGCTTCTCTACAGGGTAATTTCAGACAGGCAGAGGAAACAAACACAAAGTGCTAATGCAGCTTTGTACAGACAGAGAACTCCTCCTTAGACAACTCCTGGACTTTACTACAACTTTGCTGGTTTTGGTTAGAAAAATCTGTTTTCCTGCCAAGGAGCTAAGGCTGACTTCTCTCATATTGAAGGTTAAAGTAATACTGCAAACACTAAGAGGCTACTGCTGCATTGTATAAAATGAAATATTATTCTTGCAAGGAAAAGAAGCCTGTTTCATATTAAAGTACATCTGATAGTGAGTGAAATTTTTTGTATTATCACACGCAATTTGGCAGAGGGGGACAACATCCTTATATTTGGGGTCCTGATCATGAAAGCTCAGGAGGAACTGAGCAAAAGTGAACTGTAGGGACAACACTGTCCCCACAATATTGCTTTTTGTTGCATAGAGTTCAAGGAAAATATATTTTTCTGGCCATCACATCTCAGCTTTAATCACAGAAACAGTAAGAAATCCTCTCTGAGTTCAATAAATAAAATGACATTGTAACCAGGCAGAGCAGACTGTTTAGCCAGGAAAACATGCAGTGCCAGTCTCCAAAACATTGCCCCGCTGGATAAGCTCCTGCAGCACAATGATCTCACACAGCTGTCGTGTTGCTCCTCAGTTTCACTGCTGAAGGGATTGGCCCCAATGCATTGGCACGCTGAGAACGGCCTTCCTGAACAGGGCATGCGTGTCGGCTGCAACTGCCCGTGGCCATGGTGGCCACACAGTTCAGTAGGATGGCATCAGCCCTGTTTATCAATGTCACATTTTGAAAGCTGAAAAAAATCCATATAGGGGAGTGGGAATGGAGCCACAGATGACACAGGAAGCATTACAAGGATAGGAGGCAATGGGGAACAAGATGTTGAAATGAGTTTTAAGTGCACTCTCTCACAAAGTGCTCAAATCCTTTTTAAGCAGCAGGCATAAAGAYCTCTCCTTTGAAATTCCATTCCCAGAGTGAAAATAGATTGTAAATGACTAGCATTATTAGCAATCTTCTTATAGAAGAATGTCAGCTGAGGGCAGCTCTGTGTCTAGAAACTGAGCCTGAAAAAGCAGCTGGTCTTTCCACGTGGGAAGCAGGTGAAGGGCAAATTTCCCTTSCGGGGACTTTTTAAAACAAAGGCAAAAATAAATATTTCATTGATGCCTTCAGCATCCCAGCTGTGAAAATCAAGCAAAATTAGAAGGCTCATGGTTACTCATGCTGAGTTTAGAAGGACTTTTATTGGTGCTGACATGGGTGAGGTGCAGCCAGCTACTCAAATGAATGGCCTGCAAAKCTGATGCTTCATGAAGTTCACCTGCCTCCTCTTTTGGTTAAAACAATTCTTCTTATTTCTCTTCCTCTTTCCCTTCTCGCCTCTTCAAACAGGATGCCTCCTCACACACAGCCTTAGCAGCCTCTGCATGAAGTCCATGGAGGGAGAGGCACAAAGTCACATCCCCTGATGCTTCTTGGGCACTCATTGTGGCCGTGACAGAACAGCGAGAGATGGCTTCTCACTGGGCAGCACTGGGCTGGGGGAAACCAAAAACACAAGCCATACACCACGAGAAACATGAAACAAATTACAAAATCTTAATCACAATTAATTGTGATTTTCATAAAGTGAGTTCTATTTCTTCCACCATTTTATTGGATTTTTCCAGGCCTTGCGAGATCACACTCCTCAGCTGTAGTTGGAAGACTCAATTTTCTGTTTAATTCTTYGTCCCAGCCCCCAGCATAGCCACCTCCAATTAAAGGTGATAAAAAACTAAATTTAGCTATAAAACCTTCTGACAAAATCCATCTGTGAGTGAATTGTACTATGTAACAGCAAAGATTAAGCGGGGTCTTTGAAGCTGGGGAATGTACAACAGATAACTAATTAGTGACATTTGAAGATAAGCTGCATTGTTGACAATCTGAAATAACTTTTTTTTAATATCAACAATAGTCAGAGAGTTTAATCCTCTGAAGTTACATATACGGAACTGCATTAGCTGGATATTGTAGTGTAATATTTAGAACAGTAAACTGTAATATTTAGAACAGTAAATTCTTCGGCACTTGAGACACTTCTTTCTCCAGTGTCTCAAGTGACTCACATGGGGTTTAAAGGATGCTGCAAGGAAAAGAAGTTAAAAAAAAGATTAAATATGGGGAAGAGGTGGAAGACTAATGGAAAAGTCTCCAATACTGTGAGTGCCAAGACCCCTGTTTTGCTTCTGTTTTAAGTTAAAATTGTGATTTCTGCATTTTGTAATTGATCATATCTGCGGTAGACCTCTTGTTAACCTAGATAAAAAGACAAAAATGTTATAAATTAACATTTCTAGGCTGTGATCCAGGATGATTAAAATACCGTCTTGCCCAGACTATTARTGCCATAACAATTTTAATGCCAGCAAGGCCAGGCAATTAGCGTTTGTGTGATTAAAATACCAGCCTGGTCTTCTAGAGCCAGRGTGATTAGTACATTGTCAGTCCTGGCTATTAGTGTTAGCACCACCAATGGTGTGGAATTTTATAGTCTTTGAGAATTAATTTAGGTGCATATTAGCTTGACATGATGCTTTTTCTTTAACTATACTTCACCTCATTGAAATCTATATATGCATATTTCAAATATTTAGATAATCTTAAGAAAAATTTACTTTTAAGCATTTGTACCACTGTGAAAATGGAAGATTTAACGTATTGTCTGTGCAGGAGGAGTCATGAAAAGACTGGATTATCAAGCAGGAATTCCAAGCAGGGAAATAAAAACAATGATGAAATTTGTTCACCCTCTGACTAAAACTTAAATGCCAGCTCAGTCAGACCATGGCACGCAGCCAGAGCCGTGCAGCCTGACTGACCCCATTTGCCCAGGGCAGTGGATACATCAACCACTGCAGTGCAGTGCAGCACTCTCTGTGTCCCAAAGTGGGTGCTGTCCTCCCTTCTGAAGATACTTGGCTTTAACACCAAGTATTCAAATCCAGGATATGGGCATTTTATATGATAAATACAGACAATACCAACAAAGGGGCAAAATTTGACTTTAAGGGAAAAAAGTCACAAAGAGACCTTGGCTTAGGCAGCCCAGGAAAAGTGAGGCTATGAAGAACCATCTTGGTACAAGCAGAAACCTAGAGGAGGSTCATGCCATGTCACAGCAGATAGCTGGGGTATCCAGCTGGGATAGCTGAGGTAGCCCTCAGGCCATCAGTGTTCAACTCAGGWTTGCACCTACACTGCATCTTAGGACCTATATAGCATTTGTCCATACATATAAACATATAGAYAGATAGATATAAGCACCCTTTACTCTCTATATAGTCATACATTCATATTGACCATTTACTGCAATTTTCAATTTTTCAATCAACTCTCAGGATATCAATGCAGTCTTATTCTGTGACCAYTTAGAATTCCTTAAAAACTTCCAGCAGTGAACTCAAATCCTTTGTAATTCTAGATAGACAGGATTTCTGTATTCCTTTATGCTTCTCCTCTCTGTTCGAGTAGGTATGTGAGGTATGATTTGCACTCACAAAATTCATGTTGACTTTCTCACGGTGTCATAGTTACTCATATGTACTCTGATTTTATTCTTTATTACAAATCTTGTGGAAGTGCCCTGTAGAGATAACATACCAGTCTGTAGTTTCTCAGAACCTTCTTGGAACTCTGTTTGGAAAATGGTCTCATCAGTTGCTTTCCAGCGCTGTGGGAAGAAAAGGGTTTTGAAGCAAATGTTACAGACATGGRCAGTCATTCAGGTATTTCTTTAAGAGTTGTAAAATGAATGGATTTTTGAAAATGCCTAAGCCCTGGTAATTTATTATTCTTCTTTTTTTTTTTACTGGTTCTACATATACTTCACTCCAAGGCAGCTTCTGTACAGTTTCCGTCTGGAAGAATGCCGGCATGGCAATTTTCCTGTGCTCTATTGGGGTGAAAAAGGATGCAAATAACTGAATTAGCTTTTCCTGTGATGGTCTTATGTGCTTTGTTTACCATGGAGGAGTTTTAAAAACTAGAATTTAGTTTAAAATTTCTAGTTTAAAAACTAGAATTAGTTTTGTGCTTTTGCAGGTTGTTCATCAGTAGTTGTCTTGGTTTGAAAGAGACGTGTTTGCCAATGAAGGCAGGGACCCCCCTTGGAGTGGTGGATATGACCCCCCTTCCCTCCGAATTATTATAGCTCTGAAAATCACAGGCTTTCAGGCAAGAATATGGGTAAAAGGGAAAAACAGTTTTTACTAATATGTATAACAAGGTGAAACAAGTATCAGCAATGATAGCAACAACCAACCCAGTCCCAAACCCAGTGACAGCCTCACACAGACACACCCTCCCCTTTGGTGCAGTTACAGTCCCAGCCGGCAGGGGCGCTGTTGGCTCCCGGCCGGGCAGGGCGGGTGCGATGATTCCCCGGTGGCTGCAGGGGGCGCTGTGGCGCGGGTCCCGGCTGGTTCAGATCTCCCAGTGGCCAATGGCGGACACAAACCGGCAGAGGTGGATGGAGAAAAGTTCCTCTGCAAACTCACAGCGGAAATGCCAATCTTAGTGCTCCTCTGGACAGCAAGAAACCCCAGAATGGCTGGATGAGCAAAGAGATGAGCAGAAT